CAGAGACCCGAGCCACCTCAATTGGCTCCTCTCGATGTGGAGGAGCAGCGGTTCTACTCTGAGCTCCTCCCGGGTGACTGAGTTCCTCACCCTATCTCTCAGGGTGCGCCCAGCCACCCTGCGGATAAAGCTCATTTTGGCCGCCTGTATCTGGGATATTGCCCTTTCGGTTATGACCCAAAGCTCATGACCATAGGTGAGAGTCAGAACGTAGATCGACCAGTAAATCGAGAGCTTCGCCTTACAGCTCAGCTCCTTCTTCACCACGACGGATCGGTGCATCGACCACATTACTGCAGAAGCTGCACCAATCCACCTGTCAATCTCCCGTTCCATCCTTCCCACACTCGTGAACAAGACCCCAAGATACTTGAACTCCTCCACTTGAGGCAGGAGCTCTCCGCTAACCTGAAGGGTAACAAGCCACCCTTTTCTGACTGAGAACCATGGCCTTGGACTTGGAGGTGCTGATTCTCATCCCAGCTGCTTCACACTCGGCAGCAAACTGTCCCAGTGCACGCTGGAGGTCCTGGTTTGATGGGGCCAACAGGACAAGGTCATCCACAAAAAGCAGAGACGAAATCCTGTGGTCCCCAAACCAGACTCCCTCCGGCCCCTGGCTGCACCTAGAAATTCTGTCCATAAAAATAATGAACAGAACCGGTGACAAAGGGCAGCCCTGTTGGAGTCCAACATGCACTAGTTTAACAAAGGATTTTAAATGTGAAAAAGCAAGGCTAGAGAAGACACTGTCAGAGATTAGGCATATAGTACAGTGCCAGTGATGAGAAGGCTGTTAGATGTGCAAAAACAGTCTCTCAGGCAAAGCAGTAGGGACAGTGGCTGAGGTGTGAAAATGTAGAAAAGAAAAAGCTTAGCTGGAGGGAAATGTGGGACAGAAGCAGGAAGGATTCTTTCTCAGAGTAAATTATGATGTGGTGCCATTTCCCCAAAATCACAGGAAACAGGATAAGCCCTAACATCTTCTTTGTGTTCAGTTATACCTTCATTTCAGCACATTCTATCACAATCTAAAAAAGTCTGTCTCAAGGGAAATGCACCTGAAGACATAAGTAACTAGCAGCGGCCACTGAGACTAAGTGCTTAGAGGTAAACTCAGTGGATGTATAAAGGAAAGAAGATTGGATTTGTTTGTAAGACTACATCTGGTGGTCACAAGCACTGTATATTTTATGGAGCTGACAGTAGGCTACAGCACCATGGGAGGACGCAGTAGAAATGGCTTATGGGTGGATAAAGTTTAGATATACAGTACAGAGCTAGTAGCAGAGGCAGAGGCGGGCAGTAATGCACCTGACATTGCTTGCTAATTTCCAAAAACTAGGAGAAGAAGATGAATGAGATTATGAACATGAAATCTAAGCCATATCCAGCTGAGCTGTAGGGGCTTTCCTAGCAGACTGGTCTTGTCCCTGTTTACTGAACTGGGTGTAAAAGGACCAAGCCTAAAGTAGCCGGTGAAAAACCTGACACTACAGCCAGTCCCAGTGAAGGACTGTTGGTAGAAGAATGGTGACCGATTGGGGCAAAGACAGGTAAGTCTACAACATGTGGTGTTAAGGGGGGTCAATCAACCTCTCTGTGTTGTGGGCCCAACTGAACTCTTCTGCTCTGCTCTTGGCTAGGATAGGATTCAGGAATGCTGTAAAGGTGCACTAGATCTGATTATGGTAATTTTCTAATAAAACTGGCAACTAGATACTAGATACATAGGGATAATTGGCTGGGCTACTGAGCAGGCCATGGCATTTAGATGAAACCGACTATCCAGCCAGGCTGGTCACAGTGGGTTTAGGCTAAACAGATGCAATGAAAACATGAGGCTGGATCATTCTTTGCTTGGTTGAGAATAAATTAAAGGCAAAGTTAAAGTATGTTAGGTCAGTTTAGAATCAGAATCTGACTCCAGTACAGGGGCTCTCAATGTGCTTTGAAAGGCAAAAAGAAAATATGTAATGAAAAAGAAGACACAAATATATATATATATATATTTATATATATATATACATATATACACATTGTGGCAGAAGAAGAGCTTCCTGAAAGGTAACTTGCTACTGAAATATTGCAAATTAACACTGCCTGAAAACAAGCCAGTGTGAAGAACGAAGGATGTGAGGTGCTAGAAATGTTTAAGTAAGTAGCATGGCGTTGCTACTTACATAGAGGAAAAGCTATGGTCACACCACAGAATTCCAGAGGAACTGCAACAGACGTTTAAGCAAAATCTCCTTGATCCTTAGAGTCACACTTAATAGCAACCACATGACAAGGAATATGTTGTTTGCTCAGAGTATTGTCCAAAAAAATCCATTAAAAACTAAAGCTGGTCCCTTTAAGTCATAAGGTAGGTCACCTCTTCATAATATATTTCTCTTAATTAATTTGACTGTAATTAGCCAACTTGCTATTCATTGTGAAAGTGTAGCTTGAATTTTTCAGTTAATGAACATGTAGATCTTGGATGACTAATTGTACAATAATGTTGACTTTAAATAGCATTAAGCTAAAATTTTGCAATGAGGAATTAATACAATTTCAAATTATGTAAATCTAATAAACAAAATAAACAGGCCTTTTAAGAGACGGTGCTTGGACAGAGTTGGAATAATAATCCTCGGATACTTAAGTAAAAGTAGAAACACCACAGTGTACAAATACTCTGCTGCAAGCAAAAGTCCTCATTCAAAATGTTACTTAAATAAAGTACAAGTATTAGCATCAAACTATACTGGAGCTCATTTTAACTATTTTATAAGCTTATAATTTGAAGTACTGCTGGTGGCAGGGAGCAGTACAGGCTTATGATTATACGTTATAAGTTGTTAAATAAATGTAGTGGAGTAGAAAGGACAATATTTGTCTCTGAAATGTAGTGAAGTCAAGTGTGAAATAGCAGAACATGGAAATATTTAAATGAAGTACAGATATCTCAGAAGTACAGTACTTGCTTAAATGTATTTAGATGCTTTGCTGTGGTTGAATGAGGAAGGGCCCAGAAATAAATCAGCAAAATAAACTGTCACTGTTATAAACATAGGCACAGCTGTTTAACTCCAAATGATCCACATCTGGGTAATGCAAACTGATGGACCATGACTCTGAGGGAAATACTCAGCAGATACTCAAATTTAGTAAAGGAAATCCAAGAAGAGAAGACAGCTGTCAGGTGCTGATACTGACAAACGCACGACACTGTAAATGCTATATGACTCCAATAAAGCTCAGATGAATCGTACAGAAAAGAGAGAGGTGGGATGACAGAGGGGACTTGGGCGAGAGACAGGGACAGGCAGGGTGACAGAGGAGCTGGAGACACCAAGAGAAAGCGAGAGAGGTGCAGATGAGGACAGTCATCTTACTGCGCAACCTTGTCAAATGAAGCCACTCTATGTGCAGTCTATGTGCAGTGTGCGCTCACTTTTCGAGCGCATCTAATGCGCCACATCTCGAGGCGGCGCTTCACAGACAGACAGACAGACACCAAGCGAGGGAAGACATGATTCGGGAGATATTTGCCTGTGAGTAACCACGAATTCAGCTGGAAATGAACAGTGGAGGTAGCCTACATGTCGGTCTCAGAGCTTTCATGATCACACTGGGCGCTTCTCCTCTTTTCCCATTCATTGAGAAGTTTGACCGGCGCTGGCCGGAGGGAGGCTACCTGTGTTTCCCATTGGCTGTTTCATCTTTGTAACCCAACTGGACGACTGTTTCAGAGGACACCGAGGTGAGCAGCGCGTTTTTCTCTCCCAAACATCCTGATGCGCTTCTTTATACATACCAGCTATAATATCAGGGACTGACTGTTTTCTCAAACGGAGTCTGCGGTCTCATGTTGTTACAATCCGACCTTATCCCACTTATTTTTATTCCAGTTATACAGTGTTTAAACAACACAGTTTGTTATTAATGAGTAAATGTCACATTAAAACCCCCACAATGCCCTCTTTAAACCATTTCAATCTGGTTGTAAAGAGTTTTAGCGTCTAAATAGAATACACTGTTTTATGAGCAGTGAAACTGTGTAGGCTAGTGAACAGTACTGGTCAATAATGAACTAAGTGTAAAATATGCAGAAGAAAATGATCCATAAGGCACCTGTTCAGTCTGCAGGGCATCCAGAGCAACAACCTAAATGCATCCTGAGCTGTTTGGCTTTATCTCTGTTCTCAGGTGTACAGCAGCATTTACAGGTCACCTTGCAAATAATGGTCAAAACAGTTGTATAAAATCATAAAAAGTCTTCTTGTGGCAGTGGATACTTGGATACTTTTACCACAATAGCACAGTCATCAACTGCAAATCTTACTGTGAACATCCATGGATATTTGTTCTTGACCTTTTGGAGCAATGTATGGTAAAGATAATCTTCTCTGTGGTTAGAGGTCTTGAAATGGAGAGGCAGTAGCTTTCTCTAGTTAAGCTCCAGAAGCTTTTGATTTAAGCAAGCAGTGGATACTGGGATACTTTTACCACAATAGCACAGTCATCAACTGCAAATCTTCCTCTATAGCTTTAGAGCTTAAATGAAAACCATTGGAGGCAATTTAAAGCTCTGGAGCTAGTAGGTAGGTAGGTTGGTGCTCACTTTATATTCAATATACAGACTTGTGGCAGAGTCATGGACTATGTAATTTGATGTCATTATCTATATTGAGTAAGTGATGCTAGAATAAGTCATTCTATTAACATGACAGTCTAGTGGCTGGCATTATTTGCTTCCATCTCTGCTGTGGTGACTATGTTTGAGTCTGAATGGTCTCTTGAGTAGACATTATAGCTACATAATGGTGACAGATTAAATGTTGTGCAATCTAGTAATGGGCTAGTTGCAGCACTGGATTTGAGGCACTGGGAAGAATAGGTTTAAGGGATCTCTGAACATTTGTGGTACACAATTAAAATGCCTAAAATACTTTTTCCCATATATGCAAAAACTTCTTCTGTGCTTCATATTAAATTATTTTCAACTGGCACTCATCTAATGCCTTAAAAGTAGATAAATCACCTGTTGTGATTTTCCAGCTCTTTTGGTGTGTTGTGGTCCTGAAGACAGAAAAATAATTCAGGGAGAAATGTAAATGTGCTAGGTGTGGCTCTAGCTGCAGTCTAATCAGCAGATATGGTGACAGTGTTGTGTTAGTGTTTTTTGCTTTGCAGCAACAGCCCAGTCCTCTGGAGCAATTGTGTTCACTGTTTCACATGACTACTGGAAAAGGACTGAAGGGAGAGGAGAGTGCAATACATGGCATGCAGTAAGAAAGATGAATGTTAGGAGCAAGAAAGAATGTAAAGAGGGGCTAACATCAGCTAATGTGAAAACCTTTCATTTTATTTGTTTGTCTCCATACCATGCTATGTTCAAAGTGATCTGGCAAAAAAAATGTTAAAGTCTAACATCTAATACTCAGCAAAGTAGCCATTTGTTGCAATAAAAACACAAAACCTTCCTGCAGCTGTTTCACAGTAAAAACCTTTCTGGTGTCTACAACACATTTCTAATAGGTGGAACAAAAAGAATAATTGTGAAAAAGAATATTTGTGAACCTGATAAAACAAAACATTGCCGAGCATGACCTGGTGGTGGGTCAGTGATGGTCTGGGGTGCTATATCCTTGGAGGGCCACACAGACCTCCGTGTCATAGCCAGTGGTACCCTGACTACTGTGAGGTAGCAGGACGACGTCCTCAGAGCGACTGTCAGACCTTATACTGGGTGCAGTGGACCCTAGGTTTCCTCCTGTTGCAGGACAATGCCTGGCCTCATGTGGCTAGAGTGTGTAAACAGTTCCTGGATGATGAAAGCATTGATGCAATTGACTGGCCTTCATGTTCCCCTGACCTAAATCCAAATGAGCACCTATGGGACATTATGTATCAGTGCATCCAATGTCACCGATGTCACACACTGTCCAGGAGCCCAGTGAGGGTCTGATCAAGGTCTGGGAGGAGATCCCCCAGGACACCATCTTCCAACTCATCAGGAGCATGCGCAGACATTGTCGGGAGTGCATATAGGCACGTGGGGGCCAAACGCACTTCTGAGTTCATGCGCAGACATTGTCGGGAGTGCATACAGACATGTGGGGGCCAAACGCACTTCTGAGTCACATTTTGAGCTGCCGTGATGAAATTCATGCAACTTGTATGAGCCTGTGATTTCAATTTTTCACTTTGATTTTCAGTGTGATTTTGAATCCAGCCATCCGTGGGTTAATTGTTTTAGTTTCTATTGACCATGGTTATGTCATTTTGTTCTGAACAAATGATACAATGTAAATTGATTAAAGGTTTTCAACTTGAATAATTCATTCATCAAGATCCAATGTGTGATTTAGTGTTCCTTTAATTTTTTTGAGCAGTGTATTTAGTTACTGTCCACCACTGAGCAGTCCAGTGATCTCACTGGTGAAGAAAAGGCACTGGCTTTTTGCATTCCTCTAATTTTATCAGCATTTGTTGTAAAAAAAAAAAAACACACATACAAACACCGATTTCACTTCCACCGGCTAGCTCAGCTAGGTTGGGCAGCTGATGGCCCGATGACTGACAACAGGGTGTATGTCAGAGCATAAGGCTGAGTGCCAGTACTTCCAATGTAGGTAAGAACTTGCCATGTAATATTTATAATTTATAGGGATTCAAACACCCGTTTAATAAAACATTTCCACACTGCAGTGAAAATTTCTGATCCCAAAAGCAAGTGAAATCCACCTGAGCAAATCCAGTTCAAGTGGTTTTTATGTGATTTTGAGGCATTGAGGCTGTTAGGTTTGAGATTATGGTTTTACCGAACTTCACAGCCTGGGTTTATGCTTCATTGTATTTGGTCACATGATGTCAGTCAAACAATACAGTAATGAATGTAGCTGTGATGTTTAGGAATGTTTAGGTCTTAGTTTTTGATGCTGTGGCTTAAAATAGTTAACTGGAAACAAAAACCTTTTGTTCTGAAAAATGCAAATGTCACCTGTGCCATTTCCAGCATTGACCTTTTTAATTGTGATTTAAGCCTTAAGATCTCTGGATCAAAAACATATTGATCGTGTGTTTTTGTATCAGTCCCTCCTCTGCTGGCTGCTGGAGACCTGTTTCTGCTTTAGTGCTGAGGATGAGAAGTGGGTCACATGCTTGAATTATCCATTTGCAGGGTTGAATGCATCAGTGCCAAGAAATTGCATTACGTGGGAGACTTCTGCCAAGGAGACACAGAGACGTTTCTGGAGGATGGAGGAGAGAGCCAGGCGCACGCAGGAGAATGGACGCAGTGATGGCCCTGCCAGAGAACCGCACTCCTCTCCCTGCACCAGCCTGAAGGTACGTGAGCTTTATGAATGCTGGACCAATGAGCGTTGGGTAGTCATAGGTTCAGATGTGTGTGTGTGTAGAGACAAATACTAACTAAAGCCATTTTCACACATGAACTCCAGACTATATTCATGGAATCAGTTGCCCTTTCACACATGTAACACACAACAGGATACAGTCTGTGTCAGATGTGTTCTCACCTACTGGAAATGCTCCATTCAGTTATGAGAGGGGACGCTGGGGCACAACGTGCAGGATGTGGTACATGACACGGTCACACAGTCAGTTTGTAAGTTGGTCATAAACAACAGAGTCGCCGTACCTTAAATTTGTCTAATGATTTTGGTGCCAGCTCTTAATCACAATAATGTAACCGTGTCCTCTTAGGGAAGCATTTTAGCTAACATTCTGTTAAAATGTTTGACTAGAAATATAAATGACCATATAATGTTTTTAGTTACTGTAACAGTATAAAATTTAAACCTAACTTCTTATATTTCTAGCCATATATCATGTTCATCATTTATTTTAACTAGAGACAGCAAAAGCGGGATAACACCAGTGATTTCGCCATGAACTGATTTTTTTCCCTTGTCAGACCTCTTATCTCATTGCTGTAAATGTCAGGCACGCCCATTTTTGATGGTGTATTATTAAATTTCCTTAATACATATCCATGATTATTAGCTTATTCCTGTGTTAGCCATGTCTACATTAATGCTAAAAACACATTTGTTACTTTGCTTCCATCTTTCACAATAAGATCCTGCATTTTACAGGGGAAAAAGCGTTGCCCAAGGGCAACTTTAGCATTCTTATTGCGTTTTTTCATCAAAGTAACCTTGGTACAGTAATTAGACGTACATTTTCATGTATTTGGATGAAATTTCAGTCAGATTCTTAGACATATACAAATGTATTCTACTTACACTTTGGTGGTGATCACCAAAAATAAATCCCAGCAAAAAAGACTATGACCGGATGTGTCAGTGAGAGGATCAAATTAGCTCATGTAGTCCATCAGAGGACACAGTTACATTAGTTCCTGAGTTTCATGGTATCTTCAGTTAGATGTTTCCATTAGCCTTTTCATTGTAAAAGACAATTTTTCTTCACCATTGTTTTTTTCCCCAGTTTCACGCCGGTCACATGATAGAATATCATCAACACCTCCACCAGCTCAGTCTGAATACTCCGGACTATACACTACTGTTTTTGCACATGGGCTCGCTCCAGCTGACTCTCTACTAGAAAGCTGACAGGATAAAGTCCACTTAATGTCCAGGTCAATTGACTCGGACATTTGTGTTCTCACATACAGCTCCTCCGTGTAATGTCTAGAGAGTTTCAGTGTTGAATTTCAAAGTTCATTTTTGATCTTGGAGACAGTCCTCTAAGTTCACATAATCTTCATCAGCAAACAAAAAGACAGAAATCAGTTTAGTCCCTTTAAGGTTTCAAATTAACTTCCAGACAAACACTGCTGAAATATTAATAGTAGTGAGTGAGCATAGCAGAAGAGCAAACAATTGGACTCCTGTTGTGACATTGCCATTTCAGTGACTCCTTGCATAAATGTTATGCATCTTTGTACACAGTGAATGGCTGCAGCAGTGATGATTCAAGCGTGATGCGCTACTTTAAGTGAATGAGTGTAGTGGAAACTTTCTCAAAGCTTGCTCATTCACTGTCGGGTATCGTTTGATATTATGGCAAGATTATGTGCTTTTGATAGAGGAAATGACAATCTAAGTTTAACAAGTGAAAATTATAAGTAATAAGCACCAACATGCACCAGTGATTTTTCTGCTGGAGCCTTGTCTACAGCTGCCTTATTTTTGCAATATACTATATCCCAGGGGTGCCCAAAGTGGGGCCCGCGGGCCGGAACATTTGTTTTGGCCCGCGGGGACATTTCTTGGCCCCCCACTATTTATTATGCCACCCCAGTTGTCAGGTCAAGCAGCTCCCAGCTCAGCTCGCAACCAATAAAACAAGGAGAAGAAGAAGAACAACAACAACAACAACACGAAGAACGGAGCAGTAGCAAGCAACATGGAGAGCAGTAGACAGTGGCACACAGACAAAAGGCATTTTAAACGAACCTGGGAGGAAGAATTTTTTTTTACAGATATTAATTCTAAGGCAGTCTGCTTAATTTGCGGTCAGTCTGTCGCTGTGCTAAAAGAGTACAATATCTGCCAGCACTATGAAACGAGGCATGCAGCATTCTCAAGGTTCAAAGGTGAGGCACGGAAGACAAAGAGCCAAGAGTTGTTAGCTAAACTTCGCTCACAACAAAACACGCTCACATGTCCCTCGTCAGCCCAGGAAAGCGCAACACAGGCCAGCTATGAGATTTCAGCTCTAATTGCCAGGAGTGGACATTCATTTTCTACAGGGGACTTTGTTAAAGAATGCTTATCCACGGCTGCAAAGCTAGTGTGTCC